CAGGCTCCTCTGACAGCACCAATCAGCTAGTCTCGGCCACCTTTTCCAATATGCAGGCAAAGAGACAGCAATGGTGAAAAGCAGAGAGAGATTCATTCAGTGTGGCCACATTAGGAAAAGGAACAATGAAAGAGGTCAGTGACCTCAAATCTGTCTTTAGGGCATTTGACATAAGTTTTACATTTAAATACAGGACAAATTGGGGCAGGGAGCTAAAGGTATATGCATGGTTAGGCAGTTCTGGTTAAGGTGTGGTCTGGTTGGTCACTGTCTCAGTTATGGTTCTTCAGGGTGTCCAGAAGAAGTCCTGATTGCTGGGTGGGTGGGGCATAAGCTGGTTCTAGGAGATGATTACTTTTATCCCAGGATACAGCCCTTCATGGATGGTTGCCCTCATGCAGGAGTAGGGTGTATAGGGTTCTGGGGCGAGGGGGTTGTCTGTCATGTGAGGTTTTCTTCTTGAAGTTCAAAGTGACTGTAGGTTTAGGACAATGACTTAGGTGCCTTTAGCCTTGAACGGGGATGAGACAGGTTATACATTACCCTTTGAGTGGTTAACATGCCAACCCGAAGAGGTAAAGCAAAAGACCCAAAATAAAAAAGTCAGACACAAAATGGAGGCCAATTGCAGGGCTTTCCTCCTTTTAGTTGTCTTTGGGCCCAAGGGAGAAGTCAGTGGTTATTAGCAAAAGCAGCCGCCATGTGCCTGTTGTCTGTGCTGTTCACACCCTCTAGTCAGGTTTCCTCATTCTGTGTTCCAGTGAGCAGGGACTCCTGGACTAGGAACGCAGATATTCTGTGTGTAGTTCTTAAAGTTTTGTGTTTATGACACTTTGTACTCTTAAAAGGATGAGTGGCATCAAAGGGCTTCAATATTTCTGGATATATATTTGCTTCCTGAGTACTGGGAATAAAGGCATGCACCATGCCTGACCATAAATGACTTTCAAAAAAAAATTTATTAATTTGTTTTTGTGAGATTTTTTTTGGTTTTGTTTTTGTTTTGATAGGGT